GCATTTATCTAATCATTATGCGGTCTACCCATACTACCAGCTTCGGGAAAATACACATTTTTAAAAGTAGTATTGCATTTTTTACAGACAGTTTTCTTTCTTGAATAACCAAATAATCTTGGTAAACCTAAACAAAAAGCCCAAAATAAACTTCCCCACGTACTTTTTCGTAAAAATATATACGATTTATTCAATATTCGCTTTTTATAACTTTATGAATTTAAGAAACTCAAGCTACTAAACACTTACTAATGAGACCTTAGTTCATGCGTGCCACCCTTTGGACATGGTCCTAATTGTTGTGCTAGACGTTGTTGTTCAAGTAATGCTGGGTCTTTAAAAGTTTTTATTAAACAAAAAGTGTAAATATATATATATATATTTGAACTAAGAAACGGTTCATTTAACTATATTTCTTACCTTCGTAAGGTTTATATTCTCGTATATCACCACCAGGGTATGAAGACATTCTGAAGAATTTTACTGAAAGTTTTGGTTTAATAAAGTCTGCTCACTTTTTTTTATATATACAATATTTATAAAATTTATATTTGTCATATCGTGTGATTCAAATTAGTTCGTGTAACATAATTTGCCGACTTATTTGAAATTATATTGTGTAAAACTTTCCCGCCAAATCTTCGCCATGTACTTTTATCACTTAAAGTTTGAACTTTACATTCCAGCAAGGAATAATTCACAAAATAATTATCCAAAAAAATTTATTAACGAATATTCATCTGATTTGTTTTACGTTCCAAAGGATATTTTTGCTCCTTTACCTACACACTCTCAATTAAACAACGAACCGCAGTCGAGCTTACAATCAAATTCTAAAGCTAAAGGACTAATCAAGTCTAAATCTAGATCTTTAGATCTTTCAAAGCCTGCTTCAAGCCAAGTGCCTTCAATCCCCCCAACTCCGATCTCCAAGGATAATAGTTCTTCAAGTATATCTAAATCTCCTTCAAGTTGGACTTTTGTTGGGAGACGAAAGTCAATTGCGTCTACCTCTACGATACCTTCAACAATAATAACTACTAAACCAGATTTTGATAAAACTCACGATTTTCGATTTGGCAAGATTGAAGTCGAGTGGTTTGATAATTCTGAAATATTTGACTTTGAAAATATGAGTGAAAACTTAGG